AACAATGCTCTCATTTTGGTAATACAGTTTTATTATTTCTACCTTTTCTTGAATTGAATAAGTCATTGACCAACTAGGTAGGTAATTTGACAATTCGAAATGAAGGACAAAGTTTTTTTATGACATACAATGATACTGATGCTAAATGTTCTTGCTGGTATCCATGAATATTATTTTTTGCATTCCATTATTATCAGTATTAAGTTAGTCGAATTTTATTATAAACTCAAATAGCTTCACAACGATAGAAGATAGGTATAACAAACTTCTATTTTTTATTCCTACTTTATTAATAGGCTCATGCCTGTTTTACTTCGGTTTTTAGCCTCAATTGATGTTATCTGTCCATCTTGTCCTCGGTCGTCCCACTGATCTTCTTCCATTTACCGATTTGTCTCTTGCTATTCATACTGTTTTATTTTCTGTCATTCTTTCTATGTGTTGATTCTATTCTATCTTTCTTCTTTTGGTTCACAGGTTCATTTCTTCCATACCACATCTCGCTAGCATTTTCTCACTTCTTACGTCTCTTAGAGTTTGGTTTGTTATTTTTCGTAAAACCTTCATTTCTGCTGTTTCCAATAATATTTGTGTTTTCGCCGTATATGCTCTTGTTTCCACTGTGTACGTCATACGGTCTTATTGTTGATGTATAGATCCCAGTTTTCGTTTCCGTTGTGAGGTATTTGTTTCTCCAGATTGTATTGTTGAGACAACCTGCTGCGCTGTTCGCCATGTTCACTTGTTTTTGTACTTAGAACTTTCTTGTACAAAAGTTACTAAAAAATTGGGTTTCCATTCAAAAATCTAAAGTGTAAAGTAATATCCTATTTTTTTTTTGAATATTGTACGGCTATAGATGAAAAATTGACGTATCCGAGCGTTTATTCCAAAATATACCAGGAGAGTCACAAATAGGGGTGCGAGCTTTTCATTCGACCACCCTGTATATCGGACATTTATTATTCAATTTTCATGTTGCTACCGAGATCCGATGTATAGTAAAACCCCTTACAACCATCATTCCCCCCTACAATTTTTTTCCTAAAGTGATCAGGAGCCTGTGTAACGTCAAAGTTTGAGCTATTGGACGTGGAAAGTAAAAACATTTGAGAACGAACCATGAAAGATCCTAGAAGAAAATACAGTTGAAACTGTTCATCCACATGTTCTTCTGGATTCTAGATCCTACTAAAGTATGCGTATCAATATTGTTGTTGTTAAACTTGAAATGAACTTGAACATAACCCAGTTGAGTGCTAAGATCGATCCTTGTCACTTCTAATCGCTGACGTCGTTCAAAACAGGATATTTACGGTTCGTAAGGTCATACAATCTTCCTATAGTACGCGGATCGAGTTGTATCATCGGCTATGTACAACAAGAGACAAAATTGAAGCCAAACACGTGTTTGAACTCAGAAGTAAGAAAAACAGACTACATGACTTGCCAGGGCTCGTGAAAAATTATGCAAGCAAACGAAAGAAAAAGAACATTTTCTCCATATTCAGGGATATGGAATTAAATGGACATGAACACCTCGCATTGCTGCTTCTTTTGTATTCATTTTTTCTTTTTGTAAAGATGTTTCAAGCTTAAATACATCACGTAATCTGTCACTCACATAGTAGATGCAGCTATGAGATATACGAGTACACGTTTTCTAACAACCTCAAATGATGCAAACTTTTGTTTTTTGTTGTCCCCAGTTCAGAAGGTATTCGATACATATGACAAACCTAGGCATCCCTAGGTATGTCCTTTCGCTAAAATGGTTATATCAGCATCGCAGGAAAAAGCCGAGCGGAAAATGAACGGAAGAAGCAGAAAACTGTATCGCATCTTTTGCACGATTCTGCCCTTGACGTGAAACGTCTTTGCACAGTTAAGAATCGGAAATCGGAAGAAGGAACGGGCAAAATCTAAGCCGGATTAGTTGAGATGGTTAAAAAACTTTTGTATCTGCCATCTGTAGCATGCGAGCGGTGATTAGGCGAAACGGGTGGGTCATTTAAAGATTATAAGATTCAGAAAAAAAACTGAGCTGCCAGTAAAGACGTCTGTTTCGTTTCCGATGCGTCACCCTGTATGTGTAGATATAACAGTTAAGTCACCATTTACAAAAGAATCCTAATATCCAAATATCTATATCTATCTTTCTAGTTAGGTAAGTTGGGATATTGTATATTCAAATACGTTATCAGTACGTCAGGATACAACAATAATTAATAATGAATAATTAATTATTAGTTTTAATCATTCGAAGATAACCAAGTGCAAAAAAGACTATCTATTTTCAATGGATACAGTGTAGCAAAGCGCGATATTCCATCAGACACTATTATAAATAAATAACGTTAGAAAACGTCTATCATTACACAAATCATTGAATATATCCAGTGTAGATTGATAACATTTTAGTAAAATATTACGCAAACGTACTTATCCATAATAAATTCACGAACTTGTATTCACAGAAGGAAGAATTGTTTGGAATGATAATCACAAAAGCAGCCGTGATAGATACGGAACATTTTGATAAATTAAGTTTTCGATAGAACTGGATTTTTAGCATTTATTTTATTATGTCAACTTTGCAAAGAATCGTGATAGCTATATGCACCTTTTAGACATATGTCACACATAGATTTCCCCGTATAATATTTTACATCGTTGATAGTGGAGATGAGAGATTTCTGATACCCGTTTTACTCAACAACTTCTTCACGAATTTATTCAGGTAGAAAAACTAAATTTGGGGGTTGCGTATTATATGCACTTCGGGAAGCTGGACTTTCTTTTCGGGCAATTGCAGTTAGAGTGCAAAGAAGTGTAGACACTGTGGTTAGGTGTTGTCAGGCATGGCTTCGAGAAGGCCGTACGCAAAGAGCAAGGGGCACTGGACGGCGCCGTAGAACAACCGACCGTGAAGATCGCCGCCTAAGATTATTGGCCTTAAGGGACCGTTTCTCCACTACCAGGTCCATTGCAAATGAATGGTTTGCAGAACACGGAAGACCTATTGGCATGCGGAGTGTTTACCGATGAATGATAAGTTTTGGCTTGTTTTCATACCGGCCACACTGGGTCCTCCCTTTAACTCGAGAACACCGACGTAATCGCCTTGAGTGGTGCAGACAACGGTCACTCTGGGATCAGGAATGGAACAGTATTGTCTTTAGTGACGAGTCTCGATTTTGTTTAGGCATGCACGATTGTCGTGCCAGGGTTAGAAGGCGACGTGGTGAAAGGAGGAATCCACAATTTTTTGTTGAAGGACATGTTCATCACACTGTTGGAGTTATGGTTTGGGGTGCTATAGCTTATGGTTCCAGGTCACCTTTAATCTTCATCAGAGGTAACATGAACGCCCAGCGTTATATCCACAAAGTTCTAGAACCCCATCTTTTACCTTATCTTGACACCCTGGCAGATCCAACTTTCCAACAAGATAATGTCCGACCACATGTTGCAAGAGTCACAGTAGACTTCTTTCAACATAATGATGTCACATTGTTACCATGGCCACCAACATCTCCCGACTTATCCCCAGTTGAGCACGTGTGGGATATGATGTGTAGGAGATCGCTCAATTTTCAACGTCCTCCTCAGACTCTAGAAGCACTTCGAGAGGATTTGGTGGTTGCCTGGAAAGAGATACCACAGGAGGACATTGACCACCTGATCAGAAGCATGCCTAGGCGCGTTGGAGAATGCGTAGCACATCAGGGTGCATCCACACATTATTAAAGGTCAAAGGGTTTTAAAGCAGTGCAATCATTTTGAAATTTATATCATTTACTTATTATGCTTCATTAAGTACTTGTACAAAATTTTATTAAAATAAAACCATTTAAACTGGGTGTTCGGATTTATATGTCACTTAGTATACATAAATTTACATCTTTTGACATATTCACTTGCTTTGACGTACTTCCTGCTTGACCGGAAACGACACAAACTCGCGGTTTGTAAATGGGACACCCTATATATTTTTGCTTATTTCGATCGAGAATGACATTCCGAACTTAACAACGCCATACTTGTCAATATTCGACAAATAAAGTAATTTTTATTTCAATTTTCATTTTTTGATCTAGAAGATTCCGTAAGTCGCTTCATTTTTGATCAAGTAACAAGGGAAAAATACGATTTTTAGACGAATGACCTCAAAGTCGTTCTAAAGATTTTCTAGAAGTTACGAACACTATTTTTTCAGTGTAAAGGGGGTGGTTCATTGGCTTTTACTACAAGATCATCTTACAAATAATTTGACACCACTCACTCTTATTTGAAAATAGATATCAAATTGGTTAGCCAGTGACAAATCTTCAGTGAAACCGTTTATTCCATTATTCAGGAACTATCTTTCCGCGGTAGGGTATCCACAGAAAATTATTGGCCCCAAAAGTGTTTCTCCGACAGTACCCATCCAGCAATTGAAACCAAATCGCTTTTGAAAATTTCCTCCTTGCATTAGACGTAAGTTTGTTTTTGACCGGTATCTTTTATTATTCCGGCTGAATAAATAATTTTAAACGGATGTGTATTTAATCAAAAACCTTTTAATCTTCGGTTGTGGTCGTCAACGTAAAGATGTTGGTGTAACTGGTACTTGAATAGTTATATTTGTGAAGAATTCTCCAAGCCGACGAGTAACTTATATGTCACATTTAGTAACAATTTGCCGAATTGACTATGTACAATTTATTTCAACATATGCCTATTTCTCGTTCTTTACAGACGATAAAGTTATTGGCGTTTCCTTCTGGTTCATTTCGCACTTTCTATTGCATTAGGCGACGATTAGGAAATCTCACTTCCCAACCTCCCATATCCTATTCAGTTGGAAGTTTCGTTTTCGACACTGGTATACTGGTTTAGGACAGACACTAACTGCTTTCAATAGGAGATATCTAGTTCCAAGTGAGCTTTTGTTCTTTCCAAAACATTGCAATCGAAAGCCTTTAAGATTGGCTTTTCCCTGAATTTTTACTTACCACCGGTTTAGGCTTAGTGGAAGCATTCCTAACGCCCTGCACGAACGATCTAGCCGGCCTAAAAGTGACGGCCGCAGCCCTCCCGTTGACGGTGATCAACCCCACGCCGCTGAAACTGAACAATCTGCGGCGCAACATGGCTGCCAACAGCTGACTGACACCAGAGCAAAACTTGGGGGACCATTACAACGTGGATCGGCGGACTATGGCCTGCCATCAGCCCGTATCGCTCCTATCAATATCAGCCAGGGCACGTGAGGAAAATATGACACATTTTTCTCTCGCGTTTCAAGAGTAGGGTAAACATGATAGCCGATAAGCACTGTTGCCACTCGTAGCAAGAGATGCAATAATGTCGTTAGATCGCTTATATCAAACTAGAAACGAAATCAACAACATTAAGCAAACACCTTTCATCTCAAAAGTATGGGCCAAAGATGTCATACTTACCTTTCCAGTAGATTATATAACATATTACCAAATTTATACAAGGAATATTTCAAATAATAATAATAGTATATATATATATATAATTGAAAAAAATCGACATCAAATTGCAAACATGATACGTATGAAAGAAATTTAAAATTAATGTAGTAGTAAAAAACCTCCAACGTTCATATATATATATATATATATATATAGGTATATGTATCTATATATGTATGTATAGGTGTGTATGTGTGTATATAGATGCGTGTGTATGTGCATTTATTTATGTGCTTATTTATATGAATATATATATATATATATATATATAACTTGAGTCGTGGTCATTGTCGTCTAGACCAGTTAGGTGAAAATTAAAGCTTCCACCTTTTGTTGGGTACTTCGACAAAATTTAAGCAAGGAGGACTCTTTATACTTTTTTAATCTCTCTAGCTTTCAATGGTCTTTGCCATCATCATCAGGAGCTGGAATTAGATTGATAAGAGTAGCAACAATTGTGTAAAATGAATTTAAATTAACTTACAGTAGTATGTGAGGATGTTGCTAAATGTTATTTACGTTAAGGATGAGGGAAACACCCAGTAACATGGTGAAAGCTGGATACATGGTACAATGGTCAAAATTATACAAACTACACACAGCTGTATGACAAGAACAAATTAAAAACAGATTAAAAATATTTAAAACGAAAGTCAAGCACTACATCGTGAAACCACACAAAATGGGGGGCATAGAATCATGAGTAAGATGAACCTTTTGACATATATATATATATATATGTATATATATGTATATTTTTATGTAAGATATAAGTTAATAGCCACGCACAGGAATTTATTCTTCTGTGGGTGAATTCAGTTTATTTACGTATACCTATGTTAGTTTTAGTTATATTTGTATGTTACGCGAATAATTGTATTATTATTATTATTATTATTATTCAGAAGCATGTGGGATGATGTTAGAACGATAAACGTGATAATATAAAATATATCAAGATACTCCGGTACCATCTTATTACAAGGGCAGTAATGTCAGGGTCCCTCTTGAGATATCCCCGTAAAAAGACAAGTCAGAACTTTGTAGTGGCTAATCAATGTCACCTCCTCTTGATATCACTCTGCTAGGGAACGTTTCCTGTACGACGAACATGCTCACGCTGGACGTGTGACAGGTGGCGCCCTCCTGCTGAAACCACGTCATGGGGTTGTATCCATCAAAATCTTGGAGCTTTAGGGCAAAAAACTATCTCAACATTCGAACATAACGTTCTAAATCAACAATTACGGATTGCCCGAGGTCGTATAGACATTATATAGATTTTTTGTGCCATTATGTAGGTTTTCCTATAAGATGTCAACTTGGAAATAGCTCTTATTTACTTGATGTGCTCTCGTTGTGTAGCTGTACCTGTTGCCTAAACGTCATTACGCTTGGGCTGTCATGGTTTGGTTTTGTGATGTCATCTGCTTCAGAAATATTATTATTGGAGGTCTAAGCTGTAAGTTATATGGAAGAAAATGGAAGTACATATAGTGTATTTACACCCAAGATAGAATGGATGCGTGATTGCCAAAAGCAAGGACGGCGTACAGGGCCGCAATCAGGGCTACCTCCGGATGATGGACTACCACCAACGTGTTGTAAATCAAAGATGACAGTATTTAACAGAAACTTAACAAATTCCTCAAATACACTTAACAACAACAACAGCAACAACCAAGCAAGGTGGATACGAAAACACGAGCACGCAGTGATACACGCGACGGACGGTGGCCTGAGCGCAACTCTGCCTGCCCTGCCCCTGCCCTGCGCATTATTCCGCCAGGCGACCGCTTGAAATTTAATGGCGAATTGACCAATAAGAGGCGTTGCCCCCACCTGTTACCGAGAGATCACGCGCTAACTGTTATTATTTACATCTCATCTTGAATTTGGATTCAGTTTAGATGCTTAGTGAGGATTTTTTTGCTAATAAGCTGTGTGGATGATAATTCCATTGATTTCTTGTCTCAAATACGCTTAATACTCGAGATGTATGTAAAGCTAGAAATTAGTTAGGTATCCTCTTTTTCCTATTAATCTTGGAAATTTTGCATGCAAGTTTCTGGAATTTCAAAAATGAAAGATTTCTTAATCTTATAGAAATTGTAGCGTGCAGTCAATTTTTTGGGGAATTCTACAGACTTTTGCTTCTTTTTCTTACACATAAACCTTCGCTATTTGTCGCATTTACGTTTTGTGATTTGAGATTAAAATTATGATCCTTACAGTTTGGCGTGGCATATTTTCAACATGCATCTTAATTCAGGGAATTAATCTCTTTCTAACGTATGCGTCTATACACACTTCTCTTGTGCACGTTGAACTCAAGCCTTCAGTCAAATTTGGTTTCCTCTGTATGTTTTGTACATGTTATTTCGCTACCGGTTACGTTGATTTTTTTTACAATATATTTGATTGTACAGGGTGGCCAATAATAACTGTCAATTGGTGCGGAAATTTGAACAAACAGGTGAAGTTAAAGACTGGCCAAGGTCGATCCGTTCGTATGGCTAAAAATATCGAGAGAGTTCGTGAAAGTGCAGTGAAGCGCCCTGAGACGTCTACCCGACATCGTTCTCAAGAACTGGGTATTCGTCGCACGTCATTATGCATATAAAAAAAGACTTGCATTTGCGGCCATACAAAATTCAATTAATCCAAGAACTACGGCCTAGTGACCATGAAAGCTGCGGACAATACAGTCATGGAATCTTAATACCCGAGCGCTACCGTGATATGGTGCAAAACTTGTGGCTTCTCAAATCCAACAATTTAACCTGCAAAACTTGTGGTTCCAGCAGGAGGGAGCAACTTGGCACACAACTAGGGAAACAATGAATCTTTTGCGAATAATACTTCCGGGACGTGGTGATGTCAACTGGCCACCAAGGTCACCGGATTTAACAGCTCCTGACTTTGTTATGGGGATTTTTGAAAAATAGTGCTTATCCCAACAAACCAAATACTGTAGAGCAGCTGAAGAACAATGTTACGAAAGCGATTGAAAATATACCTTCTGAAACCTACCAAAAAGTGATAGAAAATGTAATTAAAAAGGCCCAGCGGCTTCTAGAGGCGGATATTTGTCTGATATCATTTTTCATTCATAATTTCTAAGCTTCAATGAAATATTAGGATGAAAAAATAGAGGTATTATATTTCATTTCACAAATATTCAAGATACAAACTAGTCAGCAACATATCGGCCACGCTGTATAATGTGACTATAATTCGTCGAAACCGACTCAGTAAATTGAATCGTTAATACATTTATAACGATTCGTTCAGAATGTCCCAACTCTACTCCACCCTGACAGCAGCGTCGTAAACATAACCTCACATAGCCCAAATTCTTCCTGGTTTCCCGATGCGTATTTCCACAGCATTTACTGGACTTGTAGAGGATACTTTTTCATTTCTATCGGTAAGCATTCGTGTTCGGACATTTGTAAATAAAGCTGACACTTTATCACATTACAGTTCGCCATGCGACACATGGAATATCAACGCGTGGAAGACGATAGGGTGTTACAGCTAATCTTCCTGACAAAAACCCAAAATTTTTTGAGAGGGAACGCAGTCTGGCAAGACTTCGTCTACACAAACTTATTTCCTTATAGAACCTGGCAGAGCCTAAAGGAAAGGTTCTTCAAAAAAATCGCTCTCACGATACTGGAGGACGGGTATCGTACTCCGCTGTGGATCCGCGAGCTGATTTTGGTGGCTTGGAGACGAACAGAAAAAGACTCTAAACCAGCCAGTGTAAGCAGGAACTGGGACGATCAGTTTGCATTGGTTGAAAAACATGTCTCTGTTAGTACAGATTACGATATGGAGATAGATAGTTATTCATCTGAAGATGAGCCACCTGCAGCAAGTACACCCGAGGCACAACGGTGAAATTAAAAATATATATATATATATATATATATATTAGGTTTTGACATCTACTGAGGGATCAGCACGTGGCATATTTGTATTGGAAATAATAAATCGTTTGTAAATCTAAGCTGTTTTCCAGTGGTTGGTTTAAGAGTGAGACGCTGCTGAACTGCTCTAAAAGGTGTGAATGGAAATACATAGTGCAATGGAGTAACTAAATTGGGTCACTGGAAAGCAGCTCTGGTAAAACTCAGGACTGTATTCAGAGCTGTTGTGTTTGACAATAAAATATATGTACATATGGACCGCGTTATGCATGACTTGACCAAGCGACAAATCTCTGTTTCTCAGGAGGATGAATAAACTTTTAACAATTCATTAAAAAACAATGCTACGATTTTGGTGAATGTTTTTTGTTCTGTGAATAGAAAATATTACAAATTTATTTATGCAATCATTTTTTCAAAAGTTGTTATACCTGAAACTTAATGAAATGAAATGGCGCTTGGTCAAATATTGCTTTCAAAATGAATGCTCATTTTCCAACAAAATAATGTTACTTGGTCGTGCTATGCAAAATATGGAACGCATTGCAGAAAGATTCTTTATTTTTGTATTTTAGTAATTAGCATCAAATTAAAACTACACAAATTAAAACATTCCCGAAACCAAATAAGAAGTTGCTTGAATGACAAATGTTATAATAAACTCAATTATATACTGATCCAAAAATAAAATGAAGTAAGAAGTAAGCACATATTTTCGATATGAATCAAGAACCAGAATCGAAAATTTGTATTATTCATCTTCAAGCTCGAAATCTGGTTAAATTAGATTCCTATAGAACTTCTTGGAATCCTTGGGTAGACTTAGTAATGATTTTAAATCGTCTAGCTTCTTTTCTGTTATAGGTTTCCCATTTGGCCACAGTTTTTCGACTAAGCAATGCTTGAATCGAAGCATTCGATGGTTTTTTCTCAATATTGGTCACTTTATGAAAAACTT